TTGTTTAAGCGTAAACCGGATATACGCATATATTTTTTTTTTTTTTGTAAAGTCTCTATACGCATACAATTCCGTAGGTTCTAGATCGCATGTGATTCGTTAAGAGTATACCGTATATACGCATATGGTCTGGTAAGGCTGTATACGCATACGCATATATCTCGTCAGGTTCTAGATCGCATATACGCATCCACTTCACTAAATCTAAACCGTTTATACGCATAAGGTTCGCTAATTCTAAACCGCATATACGCATACCGTAGCGTATAGCGTATGACACGATACGCATATCGTTCGTTTAAGAGCATATCGCATATATCGCATAGGGTTCGGTATATTCTCCACCGCATATACGCACATCGTCCGTAAAGCGCACACCACGATACGCACAGCTCAGCGCTCATACGGAGGCCGCGCTAAGCAGGCTCCTCTCAGCACCTAGGGAAGGTTGCGTGCGGACTATACGCACCTGCGGCAGCTAGTATGGGTTACATGCTAACCACGTTCTGCTTTTTTTTCTCTCTCTCTCTCCCTCCCTCACTGTCTTTTTTACTCTTTTTCTATCTCTGTTTATCTGTCTGTATGTCTGTCGGTCTCTCTCTCTGTCTGTCTCTCTCTCTCTCTCTCTCTCTCTCTCTCTCTCTCTCTCTCTCTCTCTCTCTCTCTCTCTCTCTCTCTCTCTCTCTCCCTCCCTCCCTCCCTCCCTCCCTCCCTCCCTCCCTCACTGTCCTTCTCTCTCTCTCTCTCTCTCTCTCTCTCTCTCTCTCCCTCTCTCTCTCTCTCTCTCTCTCTCTCTCTCTCTCTCTCTCTCTCTCTCTCTCTCTCTCTCTCTCCCTCTCTCTCTCTCTCTCTCTCTCTCTCTCTCTCTCTCTCTCTCTCTCTCTCTCTCTCTCTCTCTCTCTCTTTTTATTTTTATTTTGTTTTTCATTTTGTTTTTGTTTCCTCCTTTTCTTCTCTGTGTGTCTTGTGTCTCGGTTTATCCATCTTCCAGTTTTCAGGCAAGTGTGAGGATTGTTATTTATTTTATTTGTTTATTTTATTTTAATCGATAAGAGGCCTAAGGCAAGTGTGAGGACTGTCTTTATTTTATTTTTACTATTTTTTTTTCATTCTATTTTTTTTTTTTTTTTTTTAATCGATGAGAGGCATAAGGTAAATGAGAGGATTGTCTTTATTTCATTTTTTTAAATCGCTGAGAGGAGGCATATACACCCGGTAATCCCGGCCCGAATTGGTTCCCGAGGCGATTCGAACAAATTGGCGGGTGATGCCGAGAGCCGCCGCCGCCGCCGCCGCCGCTCTCGCACGAAAGTTAAAAACAGGTGTCTGTCAGTCTCGTATCCGGATCAGGTGGCTTTCGCGACGCCGTGGGGGTCTTCCATTCCCGTATTCCCCGGTTCGTAATGCGCCGATTCGGTCGCGGAATCCGAAGCGGGGGATGAACCGGACGGCGGAAGGGGCCGCAACGAAAATAAAAACGTACCAAATGGTTCACGTAGGTAAGTCCACTGGCGAGGCGATGCCGCGGGGGATCTGTCTTGGGCTCCGAGTAGTCAAGGTCTCTCCCTCTCCCTCTCTCCCTCCCTCTCTCTCTCTCTCTTGACTCTAACCCCACTACCGCGTCGCTTTTTTATGTTTCTATTTATTTTATTTTTTTCCCTCTGCGATGCCTCTGTTCCGATTATTTTCCCTCCTTCCGAATTCGTTAAAAGAATTCCCCGAGATCAAGTATATATTAGGCCGAGAGAGAGAGAGAGAGAGAGGGAGAGAGGGAGAGAGGGGCGCCCCACCTCACAGGCGAGAGAGAAGGAGAAACATCGTACAGGGCGCGTGGCAGGCCGGTCGTGTCACGGCAGGCGAGGGACGAAGCCCTTCCGAATGCCCCTCCCTCGCTGGGGTCTTCTCAGGCGGCAATGTCATCGCCTCGCAACGACCGAGGGACTAAGGACTCGACAAAGAGTCAACCCTCTTATAACGCACGTCTCGGAATACCTCTCCCAACCCTTAATTTCGCCCCCCCCCCCCCCCAGTTTGTGAGGATCGCCGTCGTACGCCTGGCAGCCTGCCCAGCATGACTGCAATGCGAGGGTCTTCGTACGGCACCAGGTATCCTACGCTCCTGTAGTGCAGAGAGAGAGAGACTATCCTTCTTGCTTCACACCCTCCCCCCCCATTAATATCCTGCGCTCGATGTGCCCCAATTAAAGAGTCCTCTGACGAATTATAATGCGACAGTTGTCTCGTGTGTGCCCCCGAGTAGGCGTCGCAAAGATTTATAGCATCGGGTCGTGTGATAGAGTGGCGCTGTCAAATTGCGACAGGTGATGAGTTCGTTGGTGTAGGATCACTTAAGTACAGGTGATCATGGCGAGGATCAGTGAAGTGAGCGGTGCTGTGGAAGTGTTGTGAAAAGGAAGGTTGTAGGGGGAAAAGGAAGGGAGGAAGATGGTGTGTTTGGAAGTACGTGTCGGCGTGTTCAAGAAGTGTGGCGTGCTCTAAG